GCCCTTTTGCAGCCCCCTCTGCAGGTGGGGCAGGCCCTTTTGCGAGCCTGGTAGCCAGTTATCCTACTGACCTTATCAGGGTCATCTTGCTCCTCAGACAGGGAAGCCCAGTGCCCTGGTTTTTCTGACATCTGAAAAGAAAACTGAACTTTGGAAGGAATTTGTCTGCACAGCCCCTTGCCCCCTGCCCTTCTCTGAGTGCTCTACTGCCCCAGGCCCCAAAGGACAGTCTCTGACTTACAGTTTATGGGGGCTTGAGGGACCAGAGCTGTTTGTTACAAAGAAGAGGAGACCATCGAGAGAGTCATTCCTCCCGCTAGGTTTCCAGTCTACTCTGAACTTGCACCCCAGGACAATTATAATTATCCTCCTCTAGCTTTGAACCTGGCAACCTGAGCTGAGGTGTGAAGCTGCCTTTTGTCCTTGGTGGAAGGAGAAGGGGGTGTGCATTAGGGCGGGCAGCTGCGTAGCTGGGTGAGCGGGGTGAGGGCTCCCTGTCTATGATGGCCAAGGCCTTCCCTTGCAAATAGATCAAGAGGTAGGTGTTGAGCTGGGTGCTCAGGGCCCTGGCCACTCTAGGCTGTGTGACAGAGAGGACTGTTCCCCTCTCAGTTCATAGTCGTGCATTAGTCTGGCTCCTGAGTCACCCACCTGGGGTGGGCCAAGTGCCTCCCCCAACCCCATTTCTCCTGACCCCACAGAGCAGCAGAGAGTGATGCTGCTGAGCAGGTCCCCCTCAGGACCCAAGAAGTACTTTCCCATCCCGGTGGAGCACCTGGAGGAGGAGATCCGTGTACGCTCTGCTGACGACTGCAAGCAGTTCCGAGAAGAGTTCAATGTAAGTGTCGCTGTCCCGGGTTCCTGTCCTTCCCCGGGTCCCTTTCCTGCTAGGGACTGTGAGGTCCATGGTGACAGTCCAGGACCAAGGCCTCCAGGGCCTCTGACACTTGCATAGGCTGCAACACCAGACCAGCCTTGGGCAGGATCCTCATGCCTGGTACAGTGCCTGTCACTGGCATGCGTAGCTCCTTCTAAGGTGAGACGGTGGCTGTGAGGCTCAGGGGGGCAACAGCCTGATCAGCCATCAGAGGGCCGCAATCTGAGCTCGGCTGTGACACAAACACCACTCCCTCTGTGACATGGGAGAGCCAAGCCCGCACCAGCACAGGAGGAAAGCTGTGGCGCCCCCAACGGTCCTTTCTTGGCCTCTAAGAATCTGAGCTTCTCGTTGGAGTAGGAAATGTCCCTTTACCAAGTCATATCCTGGCATGAGTGGAGCAGTCGTGGGGACACGCTTCAGGGGACACGAGCTGAGCCCTTTGCTGTCTGTGCTGTGCATATGTGTCAGCGAGATTCCGCTGCATCCACCTGCTTCTGCCGTCGGGATGAACAGCCCCATAAACCGAGGGTGGGTGGCAGCTCCCTCGGACACGGATTTACCCAGCTGAGATAGTCCCTGGAGTAGCGCGCTGATTCTCTCAACAGAATATGCAAACGCACACTGATGATAGCTCCCCTAGTGCTGTTCATTTCTTTATTTAATGGCCTGAAATTTGAATCTGATGTACATCTGTGTATAAACACATGCACATGGGACAGTGCCACCTTGGACTTTGCTGCTCGATGATGGCATATGTGTCGTGGTTTTGGCTGTGGGTGTCCCCATCTTTGGGCACAGGACTGCCTGCCGCAGGCTGAGCCCAAGAGAGATGGGCATTCAGCAGGCGTACAGACATGCCGTGGCTCTGCCTGCCGCACCCTGGCCCTAGCACGTTATGTAGACGCTCCGACCACCTACAGAGGAGAGGCAGGGTGCCGGCCTGTCTTGATTGGCTCACAAGTCAGAAGTGAGGCGCAGACATTGGGCTCTAGAAACAGCCCCAGGTTGTACAGCTGTGACCCAGAGCCGGCATGTGAATCGCACCGCAGATACTAACTTTTTACACTGACACAACCCGAAGGTACAGCAGGAGGCGGCATACTGAAGCCATACTTGACTTATTTTTAACACAGATCTCACCTGCCTTTTTCTCATCTCCCTTTTATTGCTTCTAAATTTGTACCTTTTGTTCCTTCATCTTTTCTTTCTTTCTTTCTTGTTTTTTTTTTTGTTTTGTTTTGTTTTGTTTTGTTTGTTTTTTCCTGAAATTAGGTCATACTGAAAGGGCCGGCCAAATAGCTCAGCGGATTAAAGTGCCTGCTTAGGCAGATGCAGCGGGGCTGGGGGTTCAATCTCCCGGGTCTGCAGTGCCAGGCCTGTCCCTCAGGTGCACTAAGACAGAGATTGAGACTGGGCGTGGTGGCACGCACCTGTAATCCCAGCACTTGGGAGGCTGTAAACAGGAGGATCACTGAGTCTGACCTATATAGTGAGACACTATAGACCCTGTAGACCCTGTACTAAATACAGAAAAAACCGAAATTAGGTCATATTGAAAGACAGCTCCACATGGTATTGTTTTGCAATCTCTCAGCTTGATAAGAGAAGTTAATTCTCCATTTTCAGAAGAACTGTCTGTTTGTAGCAACAAACTTCCCTGCTCTCTTTTGTTCCATTTCCCCTTCAGCTTTGGTTTCTCCGAGCGCAGGGTGGCTGGCAACCTGGCTTGCTGAGGAGGACTCTGAGTCAGTACCACTTGACTGTCAACCACCGCAAAAGAAAGGACCACACCCTGGGAGGGTGCCGGGGAAGAGGGTGACGCAGGAGGAGCCTTTGCCCTGGGCACAAAACCTAAGCGCGCCCAGAAAAACGCAGTTAGTCAGGATAAATCATAATTTAATGTAATATTTAAGCGTGTCAAAATTAATGCCAGCCACCTAGGGGGAGCAAATTGCACAGTTACGCACGAAGACACGACCACTCTGGTGGGTTTCTCGTGTTGCCCTGGGCTCCCGGATGGTTTGTGTCACAGTCACTGATTCTACCACTGTGCAAAAGTTTGATATGTTGGTCATAATGGATTCTGTACAATAAGTTGAATTTTTATTTTATTTATTTATTTTTTGTATTTTAGGGAAGGGTTTACAGGGTGTTCAGGGTCTTACTACTAGATCACACTCATAGTGATCTGCCTATTTACAGCCTCCCAAGAGCTGAGATTATAGGTGTGCACCACCACGCCCAGTCTCAATTGCCATCTCAGCATGCCCCCCGGGGACAGGGCTGGCAGGGCAAGCCTGGAGATCGAACCCCTGGCCCCTGCACCTGCTTGCAGGCACTTTAATCTGCTGAGCTATTTGGCCTGACCTGATCTTTTAGAAATTGCATGAGAATGTTAATTCTTCTGATTGCTGAATTTAGGATGCCTCTTTACATGTCACTCACAAGGGCAGAGGCCTCATACCCCTGACCCTCAGGCTCTGCTTTTGCCCAGCCCCTCAAGTGCACAGCCCCTTGTCCTGTGACAGGCCAGCCAAGATGTGGTGCAGGGAAGATCCTGGACTCAGGATCCAGCTGGGGGGACCTGGCCCTGCTTCCAGGGTGCCCTGGGCCAGCTGCCTATTTCCCCTCTCCCAAGTCGGAGCTGTCTGGGTCCTACAGCCACATTCTTGCAACATTCCTCTCTCAGGCCTGCTGGGACCTGCCACTCTCAGGTCCTCAGAGGCACATGCTTGCATTCTGCTCCTGCACCCCTTCCTTCCATCTCCCTGCCCCCTGACCTGAGCTCCTCTTCCCGGGGTCAGGGGTGGAGCCCAGATGTATTTTCCAGTGCTCAGCCCCACTGCGTTTGGACATCGCTGGCTGATCACCCCAAGGTTCAGCTGAGCTTGCTGAGGATAAGAGGGGCTGGTTCTGCCTCTGCTTCCTCATCTGTGAAATGGGGATTGCCCCCCCATAGGCTTGAGGTAGCATGTAAGTGAAGTAAGGTGACAGGTGCCATGCAAATGAGACAGTGTCAGGAAGACTTCTGCAGGCTCCACCTGGAGAGAACAGACCACTATGCTAATAAAGCCTGTTCCCTGGCCTTGGATTGAATCCCAGAAAATGAGTGCCAGTGGCCAAGGAAAAATCCTCTCTCTAGATAGGATTTCCCCCACTTCCATCCCAGCAAGTTACTTCAAGCTGGGTCCTGGGACCAACTGAATAACAAATGCCACAGAAATTTATGACAGGTGTCACCAGGAAAGGTGCCAGTGTGCATAACAAATCAGAACCATCCCCTGGCAGTTATTGGAGCAGATGGGGCCTCTTATAGAACTGGATGCAAAAGAGGCCCTGCAGGGCTAAGCAAATTGCTGAACCCCCTTCGCTGGTATGCGCTTATTTCCCCTGAGCCAGCCACGCAGGACCCCGTGGTCTCCTGACAGCAAGAGAAAGTACAGGACCCGCTCTCTCCAGGGGGCTGTCCGTGTGCTGGGGTCACAGGCCGGTGTGTGGGGCACAGAGTTCTCTGCATCTTCCACCCCATCTGACGCTCTGTGAACACAGGGAGCCAAGGAGCAGCCTGTGCTCCAGGCCTGGTGCACCGCAAGGGCTCCACAGCTGGGCAGTGGCGGGCGAAGCCCGGTCTCTCCTCCGCACTGCTGACCCTCTGCCCTCCACTCTAAGGCCACCTTCCCTTCCGAGGTACAGGGAAGCCCTTCAAGGCTTTTGAATTTATTATTTTTTAATAAACGTTATATTTTGAGGGCAGTTTTAGGGGTTTTTTGTTTTTGTTTTTTGGTTTTTGGGTTTTTTTGGTGGAACTGGGAAATTGAACCTAGGTCCTTGCACTTGCCAGGTAAACGCTTGTCCTACTGAGCCATCTCCCCAGGCCCTTGAGGGCAGTTTTAAGCATGCAAAGAAACTGCACACCAACTGTAGGCCTCATATACACACAACCTCTCCACAGCATCAGTGTCCCCGTCATTAATAACTTGCATTGCTCTGCTACATTTATGGTTGGTGACCTGTTCTGACACAGTGCCACCAACACTATGGCAGTTAAAGTTTCCTCATTCCATGGGTTTTGGCAAGTACCCGGAATCGTATACCATTACATGTCCTGCATGGTCTTTAAGCCCACTGCTAGGATTTAAAAAATGGGGAGATAGCTCAGCGGCACAGCACCTGCCTGGCAAGTGCGAGGTCCTAAGTCTTATTCGTGGTACCAAAAAAAAAAAAAAATTGGAGGGAGGAGAAGAAAAAGAGAAGGCTGTAGGATATTGCCACAAATTCAGCATCTGGGTAAGATCGAGGAGGCAGTATTAAGACAGCTCCAAGGCAGAAGGTAGGAAGATCAGGAGAATAGTTGGTGGTGCGTGGAGAGCAGGCTCAAGTCCTTCCTGCTGCCCTTGCGGAGACAGATGCCCGCGAGGCTGGCCCACCCACATATGTGCATGGCAGTGGTTCTGCACGGGCCCCAGGGCAGAGGAAGGAGTGCGCCTATAGCACCCCACGTGTGCGCTTTCTGGGAGACTGGGTCTGCCACTGGAGAAACTCTACGCACTCAGGGCTCTGACTCAAAGTGCCAGCAAGCCCAGGATGGCGAGCCCTTCGGTGCTGCGCTGCAAGGCTGGCCCTGAGGCTGGGGATTTGGGGGATGTTACACAAAAGCCCTCACTCTTTCCCAGGCTTGAGAAGGGAGCATCCATTCTGCTGGACTTCCAGACCCTGCCTATGGTCTGTTGCTCACTAACCTGGTGGCTCTGGACCAATCTGTAGCTCCCTTACCTTGGGTTTCACACGCCTCATCCCTACAAACAAGGGTGATCCTAGTGTCTCCCAGTGATAGCGGAATTGTGAAGGTCAAAGCTGGTGACCAAGCTCCTCCCACTTTGCCTAGCACATTGGAAATATTAAATAAACATTAACCCTTTTTATTGGATCCCAGTGGCCCATGAGTCCTGCCCATGGTTAGTTTTAATGTTGAAAGATATAATTTGAGGTTCAAAATGCTCTCTTACCATGTGTATCATGAGGAGCAAGTCCCAACAGTGAGCGAATGCAGAACAGCTGGAGCCAACTAAGGACCAAAGGCAGGTGGCTCCAGGTAACAGAAGGAACTAGAAATCCTGACACCTGAGCTTAGGGTCCAGCGGGCCACTAGCAGGTGCAGGGTCCCAGCGCAGGAAGCTTATTTCACATCTCCAGTTCTTCACCAGGGACAAGGTGGTAGTCAAGGTAGGGAGTCTGGAGCGACAGGGGTTGTTAGAGTGGGAAATCTAGGGCAACAGATCCCTGGGAAACTTACTGGTGGAGGTGCTGATTCAGTGAGCTTGGGAGGGTTCCTGACAACCCACATCTCTAGCCATCTCCCACGCCCTGATGCAGCTGGTCCACAGAGAGCACCCTGAGTTCTTAGCAAAGTTGTTGCCACGTCCAAGGTCACTTCCCAGGGTCATTCTCCTCAGCCTCAGCCTCAGCCTCTCCCTACAGTCAGCATACCTTTCTGTCTTTCTTGCTCCTGTTTCCTAGGTCAGAGCTCTGTCGGGGTCAGCCCACTCGTGCTTGGGGTGAGCCAGCTCAGGGGCCAGCTTGTGGGGCCAGGGATACGGTGAGAGGTGTCAGCCGGTCTTGGTGTGGCTTAGGGCCCACAGGATGATCATTTCAGCCCCATGGGACAGAAGGCCCTGACGGAGGCCGCAGTCTGTGTCTTGATAAGCTTCTACCTGTGTCTGGTACACGGTCTGAGGCAGTCACATGATGTGTGGAAAGTGATTTGCTCTGAGATGCATCTCACCTCCTGGGCTCGGTGGGAAGCGGTGGGAGCGGGGTGCTCGGACCCAATGCATTTAGTGCTAACTCTACTCCTTTTTTTTTTTTCCAGTCGTTGCCATCCGGACACATACAAGGAACTTTTGAACTAGCAAACAAAGAAGAAAACAGAGACAAAAACAGATACCCCAACATCCTTCCCAGTAAGACCTTACTTTTCTTTGCATGACCAGTGGCGTTTGCACTGACCTCAGCGTTCCCTTGCAGCGCCCCCACGACCGCCCGGTTGGTGCTCAGCAATCTGAGCCCCTGCACCTGCAGAAATGCTCAGCCTTGCTCTGTGGACTTCAGAGCCTCTCCTGGGTACCTGGTTCCCTCGCAGGGTGTGGGCACCTGTCTGCTCACATTCGAGCCACTCGACCTGTGCTTGCTGTTGAAGCCAGGCTTCCCGGGGGACAGTGCTGCCTCACAGCCTTGGGCATCATCAGGCAGGAGCCCTGCTATCCGATCCAGCTGCACTCTCGGCCCACTGAGTCTGGGTCACTCCTCTCCCTTGGGCCCAGGGCTTTTGGCCACAAGCAGCCAATCCCCAGCATCCTCTGGGGTCCTAGACCAAGAACAAAAGTGACAAAATAAGAAACTTATACGGGTTTGGCACCTTTGTGGGAAAACTTAGACTTGACCTAATTTTAACCCCCCTGGACTAGGCTGTGTGGTGCCTATGAGGTGTCAGAACTAGGGTCCCGACAGCTGTGTGCTAGGCCCTCTTGTGACCTGCTACAGCTGGAGGGCCATGCCTCGGGGGTGGCTTTCACAGCCTGCCCGTTACTAGCAAACCCTGTAGGTTCCCAGTCACCTTTGTCAAAGTTGGCCTGACCAATTGCAACCCAGGGACAGCTTTGCTCTTTGCTTTTCTTGGGTTAGCAGAGTAGCAGTCTCAGAGGGCAGTGAACCTGAGCCAAACCTGCCTGGTGCCAGGAACCGCCCCTCTGAGGCACTGCCTCCTGGGACCAAAATGCCACCCAGCTGCGGGCTTTAGCTTCTTGCTTCTAGCTGCATTTTGAGGCTGAGAATTGCATCTACTGGCTCTGTCTCCTCTAGAAGCTACAGTCTGTCTTATCTGTGGTTTTGGATCTTCAGCACTTTCTAGAAGTAATATCTTCCCATTTTACATGTGTAGCATTTATGTATGACAAAGCACAATGATCCAAGAAAAACTAGAGAAATTAATCAAGGGATCTTTCATTTGTAGGGGCAGCCGTAGAGGACCAGGCTTGAGAGGACACTGTGGTGCTCCTGCCCCTGACTGTGAGGAGGGGTGGCCCAGGCTCGATTCTCAGCCCACAGGGAGACCAGGCCAGAGGACCTGCTGCAGCACAGGCTGCAGCAACTGGAGGAAAAGGGGAGGCACTTACACTGCTCAGGAGCTCAGAGGGAAAAAGTCCAGCAGGACATCAGGGTTTATTAAGAGTGGCTCATATCAAATAAAAATCAGGATATTAGATTAGTATCAATTCCCAACTTAGTTACCTTATTTAGCCCATTTCTTTTATGCCTTCATTTACTGTGTGTGTTGAGGACCTACTCAGCACCAACTACCTTCCTAGGTTCCTAACCAGCACATTTCAGTGACAAAGCCCATGGTCCCTTGAAGGTAACATCGACATTGTTCACGAAGAGTATTTCTGGGGATAGAAGAGTATTTCAGTGGTAGAACACTTGCCCAGCACGTGCAAGGCCCTGGGTTTCTTCCTCAGCAAAGGTGGGGAAGGGATGTTTCCAGTGGGAGCTCAGTGGGAACAGAATCCGTGGCCAGGTGTAGGAATCACCTACACCACCCAAGGGCACATCTTCCTTGCAGAGAATCCTTCCTCACACAGCAGGGCCTCCTGCCTGCCCCCTCCAGCTGCACACAGTCTCTAACTTGCACTGAGGAAGAACACCAGCCTCCCCGCTGAGAGCGAAAGCACAGCAGGTTTCTGCTCAGCTTCCCTAAATTCTTGTTGGACCCCACTCCAGGGTGATGATCCTGTGCTGGCTCCTCCCCACCCTCAAGGGCCACTCCGCAGGTGGTCATGGGTCTGGCAGCTGTCCAGGGGCCACTCGCTGCCTGGACGTGGTATGCTCCACATGGGTGAGATGCTGGATCTCAGGAACAGTGGCATAGAGACACTGCGCCCTGGTGAGGACCGCAGGTGGCATCTGGAGGTGAGGAAGGCCTGCTCATTGAGCAGCTGGTCAGAGGAACCATTGGTGCCCCTGCTGGGGCCAGGACCAGAAGATGGGCCTTGGGACAACAGCTCTTGTCAGGGTGGGGATTTATATCACCAGGGGAAGTAGGAGAAGCAGCACAGCACCCACAGCCACCCCAGCACCCACAGCCACGGCCACCCCAGCACCCACAGCCACAGGGACCTCCCCGCCTTTGCCAACCTTCCCCAGGCCGGGGGCGAACAGGCAGGTCTGAGGACAGACCCGGAAGTCAAACTTGTTCTTATGGAAGGGCTCCCTGGCCAACAGTCCTTTGTCTGGAGAAATACCAACAGCTGATAATTTTAGAAAATGTGTTTTGAAAGTGAAGTGTGACTTTTTAGAATGAGAAAACAGGAAGCTCTTAGAAGCTACAAGATTCTAAATGTAACTGAAAGGCTATTTTTTACCATTGATGTTTCTATGGCTGTCCTTAAAGTGTAAGTCATTCCAAATTATTTTCAACTAGTGTGACACGTTCAGCCAGAGCTGTTTCCGCACTCGGATTGTCAGCCCCTCAGCTTGAGCTTGAGTGTGTGGCTGTAGGCTTGGGACTTGACGCCCTGTCCAGCACACCTGGGCCATGAGTGTCCCAAGAGCTCTACCATCTCCTCTCTGCCAGGGACTAGGCAGAGTTAGCGCAGCCGTAAAGGACAGACATGAGAGCCCGGACTCGCCCCCAGCCTCCTCCCAGGGCATAGGCCACAAGGCCAGAGAGGAGGACGGGGATGTGGACTTAATCAAAACAACCAGGGAACGGGTGCTAAGCACCCACCACACCCCCAGCTCCAAATACTCAGAAAGCAGCCATGGCCGGGGCCCCACTGGGAAGACACTGAGGCCCACAGTGCCTTCAGGGACATGAACATGCTCTTATTTCCTTAAACTCAGAAAACGAAGATGCATATAATCCAGCTAGCTTTTCTCTAATCACTAACAGTGGCAAAACATTTTTCAGGTTTTTGTGGATGAAAGGCCCATGAAGGCAAAGCCCACTGTGGCCTGCAGGAGTTGGAATGGAGCCCTGGATGAGCCTCCGTGACCGACACACATACATACTACACATGTACCACACATAGGCATACTACACATATACCACACACACACATGCTACACATATGCCACACATGTTCATGCTACACATATGCCACATATGTGCATGTTACACATAGACCAAACATGTGTGCTAAACATATGCCACATGCATGCATGTTACACATATGCCACACACATGGTATATGCATGCTATGCACATGCATACTACATACATACCACACACAGGCATGATACACATATACCACACACAGCCATGATATACATATACCACGTAGAGCTCATATGTCACAGAGAACATATAGTCTGTACAACATAATCACACACACATGCACACACGATGCCATACCATACCACACTACATACACTGCACACCACACAGTGCCTCTTACAACACAATAATATGCAACACTTATACATGTACCACAAATATACTACATACATCTACCATTCACAGCACAACACATAACCCAGAGAGAACATAATATACATGTATGTGACATGTAACACGTAGCTCACCCAACACACATGCACACACACTGAGCTGCCAGTCGGCCTCCCACTCCGGGGAGCTTCCTGAGCAGCTGCGCAGCGGGCCATCGTCTGCTGGGCGGGGCCCAGCGGGCCCTGTCCGGGTCTGCGTGAGAACACATAGCCGTCATGCTGTAGGGGGTCCAGCATGCCGCTGCTCCAGGTCTGCCCGGTCACTTGGCAGGCCCTGTCCTGGAACTGTCGTCAGTCTACTTCTGGAGTCCAGCCAAGGACCAGAGTAGCATGTGCGGCCCACCTCAGGGTGCCATAGCCCCTGCTGCAATGCTTAAAGAGACATGGCTTGTACCCCATGACCTCTGCAGAGCTGATTCCACCCTTTCTGATGGTTCATGCTGTAGCCGTAATAAATATGGTGGCCGTGAGTCCTTATCATGACGTCGTGCTGTGTCTGGTCTTTCCTAGATGACCATTCCAGGGTGATTCTGAGCCAAGTGGATGGAGCTTCCTGCTCAGACTACATCAATGCGTCCTACATAGATGTAAGTGGACCGCTCTCCCAGCCCTCTGACCCAGCACAGGGCACTGGGGGCTGATCTGAGTCCAGCGATGGTGGGCAGTTTCCTCTGCACGAGGATGACACGGCCACCACCCTGTAGGGCCACTTGGCTGCCCACACCCCTGAGAGCATGAAGCCACCCACACTTTCCCAGCTGGCATCTGCACCAAGGAATCTGATTCCAAGAAATCAAAGATAACAGAGATAACCAGCCCTGTTCAGTGTGCAGTGGTGCCTCAGTTCACAACCTTGCATCTCTCCAGGGCTCTGGTTGCAAGCCCAGTTGGAGGAGGCCCGAATCAGATTCAGCAGTTAGGTTCAATTGGATCTCAGGAGGGGCTTGGCTTCAGCTCTTATCCGGCTGGGTTGGTGACCAGAATCAGGAGAGAATGAAATTCGTGAAGTGAGGTAGAACATTACAGACAAACTAGAGCCACGTCAGCAAGTTGTGGCTCTTTATATAAATCATGATAAGCCATATATGATGGATCAAGAATTTTAATGTTTGTGCACCTACTTGTGTGTATGGAGGGGAATTCACAGGAAAAAAAAATTAGAGAGGAACATGTGAAAAAAGCATTTATTTCTGAAATTGCTAGTGTGTTTTCTTTTCCTCTTAAGTTTTTCCCTGTTCCCCAAATCTCTGTGGAGTATGGATTCCCTTCCTAACAACACAAGAGCTTTACATCAGAGTTAATTCTGAATAATTATAAATCTGGTTTTATTTTGCTAGGGCTACAAAGAGAAGAATAAATTCATAGCAGCTCAAGGTAAGCTTTTTGTTAAGTTAATTTCTGAACATTATTTCAGTAAAATAATGTGAGTAGTTATTTGACAAGGATACTAGGATTTGGGGTCGGGCTTCATGTATATGTGTGTACTGCTACATTTACTCTAGCGCACTTGGAGATCCATGACGCAATGTGTGGATCACACACACTTCCATTCCACACACACACACACTTCCATTCCTGCACAATTGACGCAGAGGGGCCATTCTGGCATCTTGGTGTTTGCATTTGTCATTAGATGACCTTGACGTCTTCTCAGCTGACCATGCTCCCCGTGGCTTTCTGTGGCAGAGGGCTCGGCAGGATTTTAGGTCCAGGCCAGAGCCCAGATGCCTCAGCCACGCAGACACCGTCATAACCCCGCACACGGGCCTCCAGCACTGGGCCAAAGCCGCCTTCCCTGGGAGCTTGTGCATGCGTGGTTGGTCAGCAGCAGAGCTAGAACTCCCTGCCCTGCTTCCTCCTCTTTGGCCAAGAGTTTGTAAGCGAGTCTCAGATTTCACTATCAATATCACCTGGAGAGTTTGTTTCAAATCCAGGTCTCTGAGCAACAGAGAGGAACTACATACACATGCATGCACAGAAGACCTCAGGAACACGTCCTGCTCTACGTATGAGAAAACATGACAAACGGCTGAAATGGATCAAAACATGTTTTGCAGATACACAGGGGAGGCAGACAAAGGTAGGGACTGGAGAGAGAGAGAGGGAGAGAGACAGAGAGGGAGAGACAGAGACAGAGAGACAGAGACAGAGAGACAGAGAGACAGAGAGAGACAGAGAGACAGAGAGAGGGACAGAGACAGAGACTTCTTGCCCCATCCTCCTCAGTGGGGCGCTCTTAGCCTCAGGATTTCAAAATGGCTGCTGCAACATTACATCTGTATTGGAAGAGGAAGTAGACAAAAGGCAAAGGAATTTCTTGTAGTGATAATCTACCTTTTGCTCAGATTCCTTCCCCAAGGACTTCAGCTCACATCTAATTGGATAGTACTATGCTGAGAAATTAATATTTTGACAAAGGAAAGGGGGTTGGAAAAGAAGGGTAAAACATCAGCCTACGATCACTCTGTCTCTCTCTCTGTCTCTCTGTCTCTCTCTCTGTCTCTCTGTCTCTCTGTCTCTCTCTCTCTCTCTCTCTCACACACACACACACACACACACACACACACACACACACACACTTTCTGATTCAGCCATTGTGGAGGGACCTGCTATTCTGAGACATAAGTAAGCCACCCTGACGTGCAGCATTAGGCCCAGAACCTACCTGAAGATCCCTTGCTAGCCCATGAATGTAGCAATCTATAGCCTGGGCCCAACTATTCGGCCAGCCTCCTGCTGGGGTGGATCACCACACAGTGCAGGCAGGGAAGGTACAGGCCTGTGCTAGCTATGGGATGTCAGGGCCTGAGGTGCCCCACAGGCCTGTCCTGGGCCTCCAGAAAGGACGGAGAAGCCCTCTTGGGCTGGACAGGGTGCAGTGCTAGGTCTTTGGAGGACTTCTCCTCATGCTTTCTGTTACCGACAAACTAGAGCCAGTTCAGCAAGTTGTGGCTCTTCCTATAAATCATGGTACAGTCTCCTCAGATGCTCCTCTGCATGCAGGCCCTAAACAGGAGACTGTGAACGACTTCTGGAGAATGGTCTGGGAGCAGAAATCTGCCACCATCGTCATGCTGACAAACCTGAAAGAGAGAAAAGAGGTGAGCCCCTTCCCCGCCTGCCTGTGAGGCCTGCCCTCAGGCTGCCGCCTAGCTGGAGGGCTCTGACCACTTCCTCTGCCTATTTCCCTTCCTTCTAGTGGTGCAGGAGAAAAGGGAGTCCACAGTTCTCACCACGTGCCTCTTGCAGTAAATTCTCTGCCTTCCTAGGACCACGCTGTCCCGAGCTGCCACGTGCCAATGGTGCCAGCACAGTCGCCCTGGCTGGCCCGAGCTTGCCCTACTGTGAGGGGAGCCAGGAATTTCAGAACTGAAACTTTGAATAGCTAGGAAGAGAACACAGTGGGCCTTGGACTCTGACTGAACGTGGCCACGTGTTTATCACCCAGACTAGAGAGATGCACTTGGAAGCAAGTATATCGAAGGAATGCGTGCCTTATCTGAACTGGAAACATGAACAGAACATCAAGTTGAACCACTTCCATTCCTCAGGGGAAAACTCCACATTAGCGTCTGCTGTGCAGACCAGCTCTGCTCCAGGAGCTGGGACTTAGATCCCAATGCAGGGCTGAAAAGGGGGAGCGTCACAGGTCTTGGGGCCTGGAACAATAAGCAGGACCCCATGTCAGCAGGCCGAACTAAAGAACTGCATGCCCAAGGGAGGCTTCTTCAGGTGGGGAGGTCGGCTGGGGAGACGGCTTTGAGCAAGTTCTAGCGTGAGGGCTCCGCTTGCAGGCGATGTCTGTCCTACGCAGCCCCTGCCCGGGACTCTCGGGCAGGGAAGGTGCTGGCCCTGCCCACAGCAGTGCCCAGCGCTCCGAGAGCTCTGGGAGGGACTGCAGTTTACAGGTGGAAGTACCAGGTCCTGGGGAAGCCACAGGAAGGGCGGGGCCCAGAGGCGCTTCTGCTGCCACCTAACTACTGGGTTCCTTGCCAGAAAGCCCAGGGGATGTCTCCAGCCACTGATTTGGGCTTTCTGGTTGGTCAAGGATAGGGTTTTTCTTTTGTTACTGAGAGGCAAGACTGAGGAGGATCATAAACTATTCTTGTATGACTCCTGTCCTTGTCATGGAAAGAGTGACAGGAAGGAAGCAGGGGATTCCTGGCCACAGGACACATAACCCTTCCTTCTCTAGGGCATTGGGAAGAGGAGCCCCATGCTGCGGGGGAGCAGCCAGCCCCCGCAAGGGTCCTCACCGCCTGTGACTGATGTCCCACAGAGCCCAGCTTCCCAAAGGCCGCTTCACCAAACATGGCGCATGAGACCCACGCAGTGGCAGCCCTGGGCCCGAGGGCACCCTGTGTCCCCCAGCTCGCGCTCCCCACATTGCACGGCATCCTTCTCCTCTCTTCCTCTGTCACCTCCTACTGTGATTTTCCATTCTCATGACTCAGTGTTGCCCCAGGGGCCTCTCGGTTTCTGCCATTTCAGATGAAGTCATTTCCCAAGCGAGTTCCCCTTTTCTTCACTGCTTA